ACCCAAAACTCAAGCACTTTTGACTCAAAACAAAACCCACTACTGTTCACCTTTATTTATCGCTAGTGAAGATGTGTTATTAAAACAAAACCCACTACTGATCTCCTGTAATTATTAATGTGTTATCAAAACAGAACCAACTCATTACTGACCTCCTTTCATTATTGTTAGTGAAGATGTGTTATTTAAACAAGATCCATTGGTGTCACTTTTTAATTATCATTAGTGAAGATGTGTTATCAAAAGAAAACCCACTATTGACCTCCTTTAATTATTAATGTGTTATCAAAACAGAACCAACTGATTACTGACCTCCTTTCATTATTGTTAGTGAAGATGTGTTATCAAAACAAAACTCACTACTGACGTTTTTGAATTATTCTTACTGAAGATGTGTTATTAAAACAAAACCCACTACCAACTTCCTTTTATTATTGTTAGTGAAGATATGTTATCAAAACAAAACCCTTTAAATATTATTGATAAAGTTGTGTTATCAAAACTAAATCCACTTTTGATCTCCTTTAATTATTGTTAGTGAAGATGCATTATCAAAACAAAACCCACTACTGACTTCCTTTGGTTATTGTTAGTGAAGGTGTGTTATCAAAACAGAACACACTGCTGTCATCATTTACTTATTGTTAGTGAAGGTGTGTTATCAAACAAAACACACTGCTGATCTCCTTTACTTATTGTTAGTGAAGGTGTGTTATCAAAACAGAACACACTGCTGTCATCATTTACTTATTGTTAGTGAAGGTGTGTTATCAAAACAAAACACACTGCTGATCTCCTTTACTTATTGTTAGTGAAGGTGTGTTATCAAAACAAAACACACTGCTGTCATCCTTTACTTATTGTTAGTGAAGATGTGTTATCAAAACAAAACACACTGCTGTCGTCCTTTAATTATTGTTAGTGAAGGTGTGTTATCAAAACAAAACACACTGCTGTCATCCTTTACTTATTGTTAGTGAAGGTGTGTTATTAAAACCAAACCCACAACTGTCGTCCTTTACTTATTGTTAGTGAAGGTGTGTTATTAAAACCAAACCCACAACTGTCGTCCTTTACTTATTGTTAGTGAAGGTGTGTTATCAAAACAAAACCCACTACTGACTTCCTTTACTTATTGTTAGTGAAGGTGTATTATCAAAACAAAACACACTGCTGTCATCCTTTACTTATTGTTAGTGAAGATGTGTTATCAAAATAAAACCCACTACTGACTTTCTTTAATTATTAATACTGAATGTGTATTATTAAAACAAAACCTACTACTGATTTCTTTTAATTATTGTTAGTGAAGGGGATTTATTCAAAGAAAACCCACAACTGACTGCCTTTAACACTTTTGCATCGAGTAGGTCAAAGTGCCCTTGCCACAACCTTTCACAGAGTTTCATTCAAAATTTAATTAAACTACTTTATTATCAATATATATAAATAATTTTGGCATCAAAATATACTTAATAAACCAAATGTTAATGCTGTTACTTATCTGCTCGTTTGTTAATTTCCAGTATAAATTCTTTCTGAG